AGTCGAACCCGGGCCGCCTGGGAGAAAACCAGGAATCCTAACCGCTAGACCATATGGGAAATGACAAATATTTAGTAAAACGAAATTGGTCAAAATTGGAGACATTTTTCAACTAACAATTAATATTTTCGCTGCAAAATGGAATTCCCATACCGGGAGTCGAACCCGGGCCGCCTGGGAGAAAACCAGGAATCCTAACCGCTAGACCATAGGGGAAATGACACGAACTTAGTAAAACGAAATTGGTCAAAAAAATGGACAGATTTTTTTCGACTACTAGTTAATATTTTCGATGCAAAATGGAATTCCCATACCGGGAGTCGAACCCAGCCGCCTGGGTGAAAACCAGGAATCCTAAGCGCTAGACCATATGGGAAATGACAAGTACCAAAAAAAAAAAAACGCAATTAGTCAACATTATTTTCTAGTCGTGAACAACTGTATGGACCTTACCAACTCTTGTCGTAGAGATGAATTGCGAGAGCAGTACTGCAACACCTCCCTAGATTTGCATTCTATTTACCTTTATCCTTCTTTGATAGTCACGGTAATTTTTTTATATTCATTGTTTTACAGTCCCGTCCAAGCCTCGTAGTTTTATAGGTACAGAAATAAACGGGACCACCTTGCACCTGACCTGGGATCCACCAAGTCGATATTCAAAACCTCTTCTACGCTACGTGATTGGCTATCAAAGAAAACATACAGGATCATCCAACAAATCACGAGTCATTGTGCAGCCTAGTGTCCTGTCTTATACTTTATCTGGTCTTCTTCCTGGCAGTAATTATTTAATCGAGATTCAGGCGGTTAATGGTGCTGGTCATGGCGGGAAGGCAACGTTAATGGCGAACACACCGTTAGAGGGTAAGCAGTGTATATGATAGATGAGGCAGTAAGCCGTGTGGGATGGGCTCGGATATCAAATAAGAACATGCGTAATAGGTAAATTACGAGCCTTAGATGAAACGACTGAAGAAGAGTGCCATACTACTTTTTCGTGGGATTCTACCAGCTCACTAGATACACTGTGCTGACGAGGCCCAGTACAGGCCGAAACAGCTGTCTACGGTTTCTAGTTGAGCTGGCTAATTTTTTACGCGACTTGAAGTTGTGAAAGATTAAATGAGTCGGCAATCAAGAATTACAAGGGAACGTATTCTACTGATTTCAAAAAAATCTTTATTGTCAAAAGCTTGACTAGCATTACCTACTTCTCCCCAATCAAAGTCTTCTTTCTTTTGCCAGTACCTCAAGAACCGTCAAATCTATCCGCAAAGCCATTAGGACCTACAGCTATAATTCTTAAATGGAAAGAACCTAAACTCAGGAACGATCAAATCCTAAGCTACACTATAACTTACGGTATAGCAGGGCTGACGCTGGGACAAAACAGCTTCAGTCTCCATGGTTACGCTAATACCGCTATACTAAGCAATCTCATGCCGGGGATGGAGTATGAGATTAAAGTGCAGGCTCTATCATTTGGAGGGTTTGGTAAACCAGCCGTCATTCGTGTATTGACTCCCTCTGGAGGTAAGGATAAAGAATATTACATATTAGTGTTTTAACACGAGTGAATAAAATAAATCCGGCGCGCTCATTGAATATTTAGCAATTATTCGCCGTAGGCGAAGTTAATATCGGGGAATATTTACCGAGACGCGAGTCTTTGAGCGGCGAGGTAAATATTCTCCATATTCACTGAGCCTGAGGCGAATAATTGTTTTAGAATATACCAACTTGTTTACAGAGTAACTTATTTTTATATACAATTATTCAATAAAAACAAACAAACAGAAACTTTTTGTCTGCGTGATAAATTCACGCAAACCTTTTAGCAAAACTTTTAGGCCATACTTCGTTGCCTTTTTAGTATTGATAGGAATGGCATTTACTTTCATTTTTTCAATTTCCTCATCAGAAATTGTAGCAAAACGATTGCCGGCAGATGCCATTTTGTTGCCGACTCAATATTCCGAGATTCAGAGGTGAATATCGTACAATATTCACCTCCAATTAACCAATGAACGCAAGCGTTCTTAGGAAGTACACAAGTTGGTATATGCTAAAACAGCGTAAGACGTAAATTGTGACCACCTACAGTTGAATATAACACGCGCACGCAGACTGTAAAATAAAATTTGAACAAAAAATACCTCTCTCTTTCCGTTATTTATTAAATTCACTTGTGTCAATCGTCGTCGGTCTGTCGTGGTTCAAGCCTGGGCCGGACCAACATGCACTCGGGGTCTTAAAATAACTGAGGAGAAGGCGCTGCCTTTGTAATAACGCGTGCAAATTTTTAGACCTTCAAGTCTTCTCGGACAAGGACTTAAAACCGTAGGCCCCGTCTGTCTTCACTATATAACCCTGTATAAGGCGGACGGAAAAGAAGACGCTGATGACGACCATTTTCGGTGCCCGTGCTAAACTCTACAGGCAACTGTAATTGGCAAAAATATGTTGTGGCGTCCCTGCCCTCATGGGAAAAGCTAATAAATAAATAAATTTGGTTTGATTCTTTAAGATAGAGATTATCAAATATATAGCATATACCACAGAGTGTTTCATACCCTAAGCGTGTTGTTTGTATTTTCCCTAGATTTGTGTTCTCCTGGTCATTATTCAGAGACAGGCAAGAAGCCGTGTTGGAAGTGTACGTATGGACGATACCAATCACGAACCGGCCAGACAAGATGTCTCAAATGCCCACGTGGTACGATAACACTGAAACAGGGCGCTATTTCGATGAAGGAATGTGCTAAAGTCACTACAGACTAATGCTGGCGATCAGTGTTGAATTAGATGTTGTAACATAATGTTGGTAATGTTAGACCACGGGTCACTCTCTTGAGAAAAATGTTATTTTCATCGGTCGTATCCATCAGTTGTCTTCTTATGTGCAACCGTTAAGGAAAGAAATAATACTGTAGGAAATGGTACGTGGTCTAGAATGGGAAAACAGGGGTGAAATGTTTCCTCATTACAGTCCACGTGTCATTCCCTAGAATATCATTTCTTTGTTTAACAGTTTCGCATGAGAAGACACATGAATATGGATAAAACTCAAAAACGAAGAATCTTATTCTCAAGAGAACGACACGTGGTCCATAATGGCTAATCCTTGCGCTGATACGAATTAGATCTAGTATTAATTCAAAATGTTGCGTTTTGTTTTTCTTTTATTGAGCTAATTTAAGGACAAATTAAATAAATTTCGTTGTCGTTATGGGGGAAAACAGTTGCAGTATAATCTTTTTCTTTTTTTGTGGTGGGCCGTTAATCAGTTGGGTTACCTGTGGTTTCTCCAAACAAACCTTTTTAGTATTTTTACACAATTGTATATTACCCGGCGCGCTCATTGGTCACAAGTTACGTCTTATACTGCTATATTCACCTACAGGCCACATACAAAAATACTACAACCATAATACTACACTTTTCACATATAAATGATTTTGAAAATAATTTTTTTCCCTTGATATACACTTTAAGATTATTTTAGACACCATAACATCGTAATGTAAAAATATTTAATAGCATCCAAAACTAGAACATTAATTTAGTCAATCAAAACCAATTTATCGTAGAAAACGATTATTCTTGAATGTAAATTTCATTTAAGTTTTTCCAAAGCAGCTTCACGCATGCGCAGTAAGACACGAGTGACATTCTATTGTGGTCTATTTCCTTCATTATCGTTCCAGTCCTGCTCTTCTTCGCCATTCTCCTCTTCTCCAGGCTCCCCTCGGAAGCTGATACTTGTTAATAATACTCTCATAGCGGTCATTAGGGTCTCAACACTTTGCCCAATGTCTGATCCTCCTCGTAAAGGCCTGGGTCCTCCTTCAGCGCCTTCTACTTCCTGGGCTACCTGTCTGTCTCCTGGCCGAAAATATTCGGGGTCGTTAGGGGCCTGGTAAAAATACAAGAATATAAGAACAATATTTACATAAGACACTTGGTTAAGGAACGAAGAACGGTGCTGACAAAGAGAAACGCAGGCTCTAGGGACAAGGCTGAAGAACAAATACTTGTTACGCGCATGCGCAAATGGCAGTGAGCAATATCGGAGAGCCCGGAGAAAAACCCTCGAAGTACAGAAGAGAACGAGCAAAGAACTCCACTCACATACGACACCGAGACCGACAGGATTCGAACCCAGGTCCCATTGAGAGGTGACGCATTAGCAGCGTACGGCACCCATACTTCCCTATATTTCCCTATATCTTAATTTTTACCACAATTGTAAATTTTCTCGCGCGCTGATTGGTTAAAAAACGTCGTAAATAAGAGGCCATACCAACAAATGGCGTCATGCAAGATTTCGTGCAGTCTATTTCCTAGAGTTTTGTAGTAAAAAACAAATTTACGATGGTTTAGCGTGGTATGTCCTCTTATTTACCACGATATGACGCCAAACGTTGGTCAAAATTAGTTATGGACCCACTCGGCTTACGCCTCGTGAGTCCATAACATTTTGACCAACTTTTGACGTCATATCGTGGTAAATAAGAGGACATACCACGCTAAACCATCGTAAATTTGTTAAATTTACATTACAGTATCTTTCTTAAGGGCATTGCGATCGAAAAGAAAATTGGATAGTTTAAGCCTAAAATAGTGTTAAGCACACTATTAGTGGTTTAATAGGAGTACATATCTCAAAGTAAGTTACCAGACACGAGCCTTGTTACTAAACAATGCTATATTGATATGGGAAAGAAATACTAGTGGTTTTGAAGTGGGTTACCTGTGCATTGTACGACGGAAGAAGTGAGCGGAAGAAGAGTGACAACGGGCTGTGTTCCTCAGTACGTCTGGTGGGCCTATAGAATACATATTACAAGAATTGAATTCTTTCTCGTGTAAAACGATAGTATAGACTCTTGTAGCACGTCAGAATGCAGCTCTATTTGGAGGACATGACAATAGGTTTGCAATTCTCAGGAGATCGAAATTCTTTTGTTTTGTTCTCGAAATTGAGCTACTTTGACGTCACATGCAAGGGTGTATTTTTCCTGCCTTCTAACATGGCTGCTGTCGCGTGATAGTGCAAAACCTCTATTCTTAGATTGCACGTTACGTCATCGCATCCTCTCGGGGGAGCGTTTGTGCCATTTAACAAAGATTTGTCATTAGTATGCATTTTTAAGAGCACCACAATGGCCGCCATGCTTTTGTCTTTTAACTCTCTTGGGAATGCTTGCAACTCATCAATAGATTCAAATATGCAGCCAGACTCACCTCTGAGGCCTGGAGTAGGAAGACACAGAATCCGCAGGGGGGAGGGGATCGTAGGACATCAATGGAACATCTTGTAAATCCTAGAAAAGGCAATAAAACAAATGGAGAATCAAAAACATTAAACGGACCACGGTAAATACCTTACCCTCGTTGCACTGATGAAGTCATCGTGATATGCATCATACATGACCTTTTACATACACGACATGCCGGCTAAAGGTCATCTTAGTAAATTTACTTCTTTTTTTCACTCACGCATGTAACGGTTCACTTATTGTGATTCTTTATCACTGACGATGGCCTTAGGACAGCCGAACCATGTCTAAATTTGATCAAAATCCGTATTAAATTCAAACCCCGTATTGCTGGTTTTCAATCATTCCCAAGGGAGTGAAATAACAAAAGAAACGGTGGCGATGTTGGATGATACGACTTTTTTGTTAAATTCATCCAACATGGCGACTATGACGTCATGTGCAAACGAAGAATTGCTGAATACTCCAGTTTCGAGTTCTTCGTAGCTCAGGGATAGCCTCGGATTTGTGAAAAATATTCACGTGTTCCAGTCAAGGTCCGTCGAGTTTCAAAGTGTTTGTATTGTTGAAGTTGTGCATTCTTTACTTTACCGTTGGTATTTGTGAATATTTAGACACTGATACGAGGCTAACCCTAAGTAAATGAGCCTGTGATCAAGGAACACAGCGGTATTGTACGAATTCGAAAACGATCTATATTATATTGAAGCATTAAAGCATTATTACCATCGGTAGAGAAGCAGTTGCATCCTTGATGTCTGGAAAAAAAAGTTAACATGATTTTGTTAGGATATTTATCTTCATAGCACCAGGCATGACATTGTAATATTGATTTTGATATCAAAATCAAAGTTAGTAAAGAAGTATGCGTACCGCGTTCAGCCAAAGAAAGCGGTTTTTTTTGGTATTTTTTTTTATCAACTTACCTGACATGATGATGTGTCTATAGATTGACCTCGGTGTTCCACGGTATCTTATTGCACGCCTGCGAGGATAAACAACTCCACGTGATATTTAAACGCGGGTGTACAATAACAGAAAACAGATACTGTAAAAATGCGGCAAAATTAAATACAAACAGCCGCCATGTGGGATTCCTAGAGTACCTTTCAGGCGCGGTTTCAGGATATTTAAAAGGGGTGATTGTTACAGGGCACCTCGCGCCAATACCACAGGAAACCCATAAAAGTCTCAAATTGAAGGAAATTTAAGAATTTTAATTTAACCGAGTGAAAGTTCAGGATAAACGTTTTCGGTTATAAACAAATATTTAATCTGTGCAAAAGGGGGCTTGAGGGGGGGAGGGAGCGGGGCGGTGAATAGCCACCTCCTCATTACCCCTGGATCAGTTTCTGGCTTTTCATAACAAAGCCTATCGCAGTTCCCCTGAGATTCCCAAAAGTTCTACAACTTTCTTGTTTTCGTCAAGTCTACTGCACGTGGTTACTTACTTTCGCGCGCAGTCTTGAACATAAGGATCTTTAGTGTCTACTCTTTGTAACACCTTCCTGGCATTCCCAACCAGCCAATCAATAACCTAAGAAAACGCACTGTCGTTAGAAAACCTCAATATCTTGATAGAAGAGAATATTAGGTGAGCTTACTTCATATTCTCTTGCTTGATATATAAAAAAAAAATAATTAAAAGCAAAACTTTTTCGAGTTGGAAAGATTTAATTGCCGATGAAAGACGTTAGGATCCTTTGGGTAAACAGTTAATGAGACTAATATTATGCAAATTGCAGTTTTGCAGCTCTATAACATTCATTCTGGTCATCGAGCAAAGCATTTTGTCGCTCTTCGTGTATATGTATGTATGCAAACACTAATGTCTCAAACGTTCACGATATTAACTACCCAGAATACCCCTCGGTCTTAGCCTCGATGATTGAACCTTTTGAACCCGACGTTTTTTAAATAGACTTAATCCACTGTTATCATTCCCTAGAGCATCATTTCTTTGTCTAACGGTTGCGCACGAGAATATGAATGTAACTCAAAAGAAGAATCTTATTCGCAAGTTAATGACATATGGTCTAAAATGGGCAAAACGTTGGTTTGGTCCATTTAGTGCATGGTATAGTTAGTTACCTGAGGATCCTTCCACACGTGATGTGTTCTGCCTACATAAAGCATTACCAGTTGATGTAAGGCAATAGACTCGCTGGAAGAAAAAAAAACCAGAATACAAGAACAGTATTTATTAGTAATAACGAATCCCCCAGTGGTAATACCACTGCATACACGTTAGTTTGTCAGCAAACATACTTTGTTATCATATTCGTCTTGGACAATAAATAGGATCATGGAATTCATTTTAGCATAGTTAATAGAGGGGAATGGTTAGGAAACCTATTGTTATCAGGCCTTTCGCTTGTGAGGTTGAACCGGTCTTGACCGTGCAATATGTTTGATTTATGCTCATCCGAAATTGCAAAATAAGCAAACATAAACTTTGTCTACGGGACTATTGTAAGGAATATTCAAATATCTCTTAAAAATCTTTAAGTAATTTGAACTAGCAGCCAAAAGAAAGATTTTGGTCTGTTCACTCAGCCATTGCCAACAATGGTAAAACAATGGTAAAACAAAGGATTGTGCATGGTCACGCTTGAAAAAAGTGAACAATAACCTATAACAATAGAATTTCCTAGCTATTTCGAAGTTGAGAAAATATTGGGTCGAGTTTGCATTGCAGTGTATTGTGGGATTGTTTTGAGGGGACGAAATAAGCCTTTTCACATTTTAAGAATCGATTCCACTGCGCATGCGATTTTATCCTGAATTTCTCACCTTCTTTTGTTCAAACCTTCTTTTGTTCTTGATTAAACAAAAGAGAGAGAAATTCGGGATAAAATCGCATGCGCAGTGGAATCGATTCTTAAACTATGAAAAGGCTTATAGACGCCATTGGAAATCTGTGCCCTCAAACATTCCCACAATGCACTACTTCGTCAACTGGATCCAGTTTTATCCTCAACCTCAGAATTGTTGATATAATAATCACCTTGTCTTTGCATCCACGAAATAGAATTTGTGGCTTGCTATGGAAGGATCTAACGACACACCACACTTATCCATCAATGGCACCAAAACCTGACAAGAAATAATAAAACTTCCTGAATTTTAAACTCAAAACCTGGCTAAATTCTCGTTTTCCCTATTCCTGGTCACTTTCAATGATCTCTTATAATTTTAAAGATAATATTTTATAAAAATTTATCTATATTAGTAAGAGTGCGTATACATCAACCAAGATCAATGAAACAAATTCTAAAACAAATACACAAATCACATTTTTGGCGCTGAATATAATAGGATTGTGACGAACTCTGAAGTATTAGTTTCTTGTTCACTTCTGATCACACACACACGCGCGCGTATAAAGTAAAATATCTGCTTTTAAAGAGAAAAATAGGAAATTTGTGTAGGTTCTATTGTTTTTAATAAGTGCAAAACATATAGAACTTTGCAGCACTTTGAAATGCAGCTCAATCTGGGGAACAAAACAATAGGTTACAATTCTCAGGAGATTGGAATCCTTTTGTTTTGTCCCCCAGATCGAGCTTCTTTGACGTCACATGGAAGGTACATCCGTGAAACAGCACACAAACTAAATAGCACTAAACACATCTAATTCTCTTGTTTTCAATTGTTTCATTGGTGCTATTTTGTACTAATTAGTTAGTACTATTTCACGAATACATGGTTTGAACTCTACTCAATCGTGATTGGCTAATTTGTATGACAACTTGACTGGGTTGCCTTAGTTGGTGTAGTCGCACTGTGTTAATTATATATTTACTTACTGATGGAAACATGATGAGAGAGTTTTGGAGCTGCAACGACGAACAATATTCATTCGTTAGACATGCGCAAAAAGATGAAATGGAACACTCTGTATGTGAATAAAAAGGTCGAAGAGATACGAAACAGAAAAAGAAAAAAAAAATGCACGAAAATACGAATAAACACACAAACGAACGAAAAAAACAAAAGACCAAACTAAACAAAACAAAAACAAAAACAAAAAAACAAAACAAAACAAAACAAAAAACGAACGACCAAATATAATAAAATAAAAGATACATCCTTAGCATTGTATCTAATAAATAGTCTATTCTCTCATTCAGTAGATATAGCTATTTCCTACATTTTCGTTTGTACACTTTTAGAAATACCAGTATGAAATCCTATTGACTTTTAACGGCCTATCTACCAATTCCGTAAACGAGGCTAAAAAAAGTAAAAAATGAGTCTGTGATCATCACGAACAGCGGTATGTATTGTAAGAGAAGGAGCATTTGATTACCATTTCATCTGCTCTCCTTGTATCGTCTTTGTCTTTGCTCAGATGAAACAAAGCAAGTGGCACCGACAAAGCAAAGTTCGGCAGTTGAGATAAATTTCTGTGACTCTGAAATTAAAAATGTGGAAAATGCTTAATATAGGTACAAAGCATCAAGAAGACTAACAACGAACTATAGGAGAGCCTCTTATGGGGAGTAATAGTTGTAAAATAAGTTTATTTGGCTAACAGAATTGTGGGGATGGATAGACCATTTGCGCATCTAAAGAAATCTAGAACAACCATTTTTGACTGGGAAAAAAACAGAAATTTGCCACTTGACTTTGTATTTCAATGTCATCGTGGTACCTCACCTCCCATTCGTCGTACATGCGCACTAGGTACGAATACTGGTCTGACGTCACAGCATAGAAGTCAATCATGAGAAGAGTACACAGAGGATCGTTCTCAGGGTCCAGACTGACGAAAAATCAGAACGTTGGATTAGCAGAAAAAAGTTTGAAGTGTGTCTTCTATGAAAACCAACAGTTCTTAGTTTTAACCGGCTTCAAACCTTCACACTTTTATCGAACAACCTCTGGGCCGATCAAAGTTAAGCCTAGGCTCGATTTCCAGCCATAGTGGTTTTGGTGCGCCCGTGATCCTCTCCCCACTGAGCTGGGGGAGCGGGTAATGGGGTAGGGGGTAGGGGGTATGTGGGGTGGGGGGTGGGGGAGGCTTGGCGCAAACGACAATCTCACGGCTGAACCAAGCCTAAGTTTAGTCTTGTTTAATACTTGACAGATGGCGGTAATAGTGAGCGCGACAGTAATCTATCAAGCATTCTGATTGGGTGACCAGTGATCTCGCGTGTGATTGGTGTGATGGATGTCACTTGATGTTTCACAGTCTACGAAATTAACTTTAAGCAAAATTCCTACATAGGTAAACAATATTCAGCTGTACCTGAGAAGAAGTTTACATAATTCGAGTGCAGTTCGATGACAACCTGCGCAAAATAGGATCAAAATTAGTTTCTCTCGTGTTATCTATATAACATGAACTTGCAATAGTCTATGACGTGGAGGTAAACCAATGTGTTGAAGAAGCAAGGCGAGGGGGAAAAGGAAGCAAGAAGAAAGCAAGCAAACAGGCAGGCGGTCGAGCAAGCGAGCGGTCGAGCAAGCGAGCAAGCGAGCAAGCGAGCAAGCGAGCAAGCAAGCATGAAAGAAAAAGAAGATAAGATAACAGTTTGACCTATCGTAGGAAAGATCCCAAGAAAGTCAACAAAATACACGGAATCAACGCTGCAAAGTACCACTTTGGACATCAGAAATTGGTCTTTCGATTTGGATAATTCACCGAAACTCTTTGCAGCATCAGTTGAGTAGTTTTTGTTTGACGAATGGGCCGATGTAAGGAAAGTCGACGATCAATGGCAGGCCAGTTACATTTAGAAAAGTTAAAAATAGTTTCACGATGAGAGTTAATCCATCGGTAGCATTCCAGTATAAAGTAGTATCTATTTAGCTCACCTTTTTGGCCAACGAATATCAATTGTCGAAAAAGAGCGATGAAGAAAGGCCTGTAAAGCAATGATACACATTAGATGCGTGGTGCTACTTCCTTAATGTACTTATGACCTTAAGCCCTGAAAAACTGGGCTGATTAAAGTCAGGGCATAGCTAACTCACAGATAGAACCCTGAAACAACCTCTGGGCTGATCTAAGTCATGGCAAGGCTTACTCACAGATAGAACCCTGAAACAACCTCTGGGCTGAT